CCAGAAAGTTACAAAGTTGTTATCATATTGTTACTTTGCAACATAACAAAAGAACATTATTAAACCCACAACTGGAAAATAATTTCATTAACTATTTTTAAGCCACCAATTATTAGGATTCATTTTCCTGGGGATATGATGTATGGGTCCTAACATGGCACTGAAAGAAAAAGTAGTTCCACATTCTTGGCTTAAATATGTTGGAATAATTTTAAGTTTCACCATCACTTGCTTCTGTCCTCACATCATCTCAATTTCTGTGTAATAATAAAAGGATCCTAAGACATTTTCTTTGTATGTTATTTTTGAACAATTCAGGCTTTCTCCTTTACATGCAATGGCTCCTTCATGTCTTTAAATCTTCTGAAAGTCATGGAATGAACCAGAGGCCTCCAAACCTGGCAACTTTAAGACTTGTGGACTTCAACTCCCAGAATTCCCCAGCCAGCATAGCTAAAACTTAAAATTGCCGAGTTTGGAGACTCCTGGAATAAACCCATAAAAGAAATAAGAGAACTAAAATATCATCATCCCAAGATAAGGGCAACGCTTAGAGAGAACAAAAATGTATCGATTTACTCATCAAATTTTAAAATGACTATTTCCACCCAAGAAAATAAGAAGTCAATGCCCAATATACTTTAGCTGCCAAGAATGAAAACAAGCTGAAGATTTGGAAACAAAATGAAGAGAAGAAAGGGTGCTTAGAGAAAGCTTAGGAGCACTTGTCAGAAGCACATTTTTATGAGCAATTTGGGAATGGGCTTCCATTCGCTCACCTCTAGCAGCAACAGGGTCTCCTGTTCTGTCCACTCGCGAGTAGCGCTGGCAGCAGCTTTGCTCTGTAGGAAGATACTTGTGAGTTAAAACTGACCTGTCCCTGGACAGATGTGTGAGAACATCCACTGCCTTTCCTCTTTTACCTTAGAAGGAACATTCTTCTTGGTGTACATGTCAGTGCGGAGTCCAAAGTTTTGCATATCCGGTGGCTTCTCCTTGCTCTTGTCTGGGAAGTTTAACATCTGCTGGGAAGCTGTGGTTTGCTTTGAAGAGAGATGAACAAGCTTCATGTGATGTAAAGAAAGCCCGACTCTCAAGACCTCTGAAGTGCTATTTGAAAGATCACTACCACCTATAAGGAGAACAAGCAGGCATCCACCTCTAGCTCTCATTTGGTGGGGCCAAGCTACAGCACAGTATAATAGTCAATCTTAGACCCACCCAGGCACATTGGGATTTCTAGCATTTCATCCATGACAGCATTTCTCTTATTTGGGTCTTCAGTGACCCATTACAAGTCTTCCTGGGTTTGCAACAATGAACATACAGCGGGGCAGCCTATCAGGGAATTACAGGCAACAAACTATAAAGGGAGAGAGAGATGGGACAATTCCATTCCTGCTCATTCTTAAAAATTCAAGCAGATTGACCTTGCTTGGTTTCTGGCTGCACAGAGTTCCACAGTTTTCCAGAGGAAAAGTATCCAGGTGTCATTCCTCTCTGGACTCACACAAACACCAGCCTCCACTGGGAATTCTCTTACCAGCTCCGGTTTCCCTTTCACTGTCTCTGTGACAAGATCTTCAATCTCTTTGCCCTTTCGTCCAGTCTTGGTATCGCTATCACTCTGACGACCCTGAAGCGTAAGCAAAATTCTGTCCTGTTGCCCTCTCCCATTTATATTAATATTTTAATCGGGGAAAGCAAAGTTATTAAGATGTCCAGCATGCACAAACACGTGATTTCCTCTAGGATGGAAAATTCCTTCGGATACTTCCTTAGAAATTTTTAGAAATTTATTTTTCTGAAGGATTTTTTCCCCTTTGGTTTTTCTCATTTAATATATAGCTTCTGGTTTATTTTTATCAGATATTTTAAATGTCGATATATTCTCAGCGGAGGTCTATACATTTCTTTTAACATGCTTTGCGGGCCATTTGTTCTTAATTATAGCTAAGGAAATTCTAAAAATACAGATAA